ATACACTTCGACAAGATAAGATACAGCGTTCATGTATGAGCTTCTCGTATAGTAGACTTTTAGTAGTGATGCCCGGATTTGTGTCACGCCGAAGCCGTGTCGATGGGTACACGCACCACATATACGCCCTTGCAGAGCTTCCCACAACAGATATGCGATAACCATGCTGAGACTATAAGCTTGGGTGTATGTCTTCGGGGCAAGAACGAACTTCGCTTATGTCATCCGAACATATTTGACCGGACCAACGTACGCGTGTCTGCCACGAAGAATGTAGTACAGTATAGCAAAGAGAACGACGATTCCATATCCCAGGACCGCCCAGTTCATATCTGTTACTGTTGGTCGAGGCCCAACAGGGAAGAAGCAGAAGACCCAAGCAAACAGCAGGAAAAGTACAGCGATGATGTTGATCGGCAATCCAAGTCTACCCAGGTCGAACTTGGACGGCAGAAGCGGTTCGCCTCTTATGCGCTTCAGGATAACGCACGAGATCGTGATCAGGTACGAGGTTAGCATCGAAGCGACACCAAGGGAGATAACCTGCATGAATGCGACAGTGGAGCCAAGGTTGATACACGAGAGGATTACGACAAAAACCACCGTTATGTAGGTCGAGTTGATCGGTACTTGGCGCTTCGTTGATACCTACTCGCTGTCAGTTCTCGATTGAAGTAGTAGCCATGGCGAAGTAGGCTTTTGACGAACCTTGCTGAAGACATGCGCAAATGGGACGCCATTATCACGAGCGAAGGCAAATACCTGGCGTGAACTTGTTGCCATGATAGCAACGCAAGCGAAAATCGCCACGACCAACATCAAAACCGTCAGCGCAGTCGCGCCGCCTACGGACTTGGTCGTGTCGACGAAAACTTGAATGAAAGGCGTGCCAAGCGGTGTCGTAAGTACAGAGACCGTATCGGTGACGCAGAAGCAGAAGGTGATTGCCATGATCCAACCGAGCAACCCGTTCCCGAGCCACGTCCACATCATAGCGCGCGGAATCACATGGGCAGCATCGCGTACCTCCTCCGCCATGTGTGCTCCCGCTTCAACGCCAACGAAGGAGCTGGTAGCGCTCGTAAGGCCAAGAATGACCGCGAGCGGAATATTTCCCCACATCATATTGTCCTCGAAGACCGTGAAGACATCGCTGGAAGAGTGGCTTCTATCGCTCATGACCCAGAGTGGAATTACGACAGCGAAGAATCCAGCAACGTGCAGTATGACGACGCCTCCTTCTATTAATGGTAGATGGCGAGAGAGGTATGTGTTGAATCCCAAGCATATGGCCAGGACAGCCCAGATGAGGAGCGTTCCGTGCCACGCCTTCGGAATGTATGATGTATTGTTCAAGATGATGAGGCCCTGGATCTGTTTGCCGGAAAGATACGAAACGGTTGCTACACCGGTCTGCCAGCCCAGAACCCCGAGCCAACCTACCAGATAGCTGAGAAACTTCTGGCAGCTTGGTGGTGCGAACTCTGATACCCAGTGGTACTGTGCGCCAGCCGTTGGTGCCCTGCTAAAAGTGAGTAACTATCATTGGAGGTCATTAAGCTGTACCGACATTGATGCCATTTCAGCCAGTGAAGCAACAACGAAGCCGAACCCAATCATGACGATGAAGTATCCCCAGATAAGCCCTGCTGTTCCGCCATTGGCAAGGGCAAAGACGGATGTCGCAAGTATAGTCTCCCAAGTCGAAAGAAGAACTATGCAGAATCCTAGAATGGTGATAGAACGGAAGTTTCGCCGGGTTTCCTGCGTCTTTCCCATGCGATGCATGTCATGGGCGTCCGCTGTGTTCGCATCTTTCTCGGCCACGTTGTGATCCAGGCTATGATCGTTGAATATCTCTTGAGGTTCTCCGATGTGTGCTTCTGCAAATTTGCTCGACATGATTACGCTGGAGGATCTGTGCGGGATTGAGACGCAGAGGGAAGTGGCAAGTCCCCATCTCGTACGTAGACAAAGGTGTTCTTATGCCTGAGAGGTGATGCGGTTGTATCCTAGTCGACTTACGCCCTGCATATGTATGTGGTAGGTCAATGAACTCAATACTTGCGCTTCGCTGTAAAGTCGATTTCGCGTACCGATGCTGCAGTATTGATTAAGCAGCTTGCGATCCAGCGCTTGTCATTGGCAGACGGCTGGGCGTACAGTAAGTAGCGATAAATTTTGTCTTACGGTGGATATCGCACTACCGAAAGCATATGGATGATGCCGGTTGTGCTGACAGGTAGCTGTAAGTAGGCCTTATGATGCAGGCAATCTGCCGTTGGAGAGATCATTGGTAGGCAATATGCTGTTATCTGGCTATCTGCGACCGTGTCGCACATGTGGAGATCTAGACGCTCATACTCATCGGTCAGAAACGCAAAGACCTGCAGCGAGACTATGTTTCGAAAGTCGCGATAACAGTCGAGGCTATCTGTGCTGTGTGAGAGCGTGTCTGAGCTCTGGAGAGATGATTAGAAGGCAGGTGCCCCTGCGCCAGCCAAGAAAGGCTAGCTCATGACGCGTTCTTAGCGTCTTCGGGGTCCAAATGTCGCCAGGGTCTTCGGCATCTTCAATCGCGTCGCTTTCACGCAGCACCTGGAAACCTTCTCAATCCACAACACATTGCCGTCGAATTGGATGCCTTCTTCTGAATCGCGTCATCATGCTCGACCTGCCTCACTCGCATGCCTAGAGTGTCGGCGTACCCACCTCAAGTGCGACGGAACCCAACCTATATGCGGGCGCTGCCAGACTCGTGGTTTTGCATGCACCTACAAGCGTTCTGGACGAGGTCGCCGACGTGGTATAACGCGCGCAGATACTGATGAGCAGCCGACACTGTCTCACACCCCACCCGTTTCTTCTGGCCCGGTCGCGCAACCCGCTGTTGCACAAGCGCTGTCCTGTACGTCCTCTGCAGCGCAATGGCTTCCTCTCGACGATGCAGCCGTTCCACCAAACTCGGCCCTACTGCAGCGTCGAATATCAGCCACTCCGCCAGATCAGAATGCCGAGTGGGCTGACGATGAGCAACTGGTGAATCTTTATTATCTGAACTTCCACGCGAGTCACCCAATCCTTCTCCCAAGGGACATGTATTGGCAACAAGGATACCCTCGTTATTTGAAAGCGGTAGTTCATCTCATCGGTGGTCGCTACTCACATGCTGTCTCGCTCGACGAATTGCGCGAGAACGTGGCACGAGAGTTTGCTCAAAGCGAAGGAAACACAGCCGAGATGGTACAAGCAGGACTCCTGAACAGTATCGCCCTGTTCGCGGAAAACGCTACGGATCAGGGGCAGAAGATGCTTGATTCCACGATCGAACTAGCTTTACGACTCGGCATGCACCAGCGGAGCTTTGCTTCGACGCATGCTGGTGATCTGACTGTGCTGGAAGAAAGCATGCGGAGAACCTGGTACGAATTGTACGTGATCGACGGCTGCATCGCGGCATTGCAGCGAAAATCGACATTCAAAACCAACACAGTAAATGCTGATGTTCTTTTACCATGCGACGACTTTACTTACGAAGCCGGAATGTGCTTTATGCCAGCAACTATGGCCGAATTTCACGGCAACGTCTTTGCCGAAGAGGAAAAGGTATTTTCTTCCTTCTGCTACCGCATAGAAGCCGTACGTCTTCTCGGACGAGTCTTGACTATCACTGGAAAGCACGGGGTGGATCGAGATCTGGTGCAGGCCGTTGACAACGCGCTCGCTGCATTCCTATACCACTTACCACGCTCCAAAAGCGAAGCGGAGATCTCAAACACCTTCGGTGATCTGGACGAACTCATGTTCCAAGCGCACACTATCATCCAATGGAGCACTATTCTCGTGCATTACCCCAGAGGCGATCTGATATCGTCTGACCTATTAACACAAGACGTACTTGGAGCCAATTGTACCAAGCTCCTTTGTCCCTGCAATCGGCAACATATCCACTCCGTCAAAGCCATCGAAGCCTCCAAGACCATAGCTATGCTAGCGGCGCTGCGCACTCCAACTCAAAAGCACACACCATTGTTTGTGTATCCACTGGCTCTCGCTGCTGTCGTTCAGCTTTCCATTGGCGCGATGCACGACAAAAGCCCTCGGCGTTGCTTGGACCAGCACGCTGACCGAGTGAAGCTGTTACTCGGGGTACTCAAGTCTATGAGCCGCCAATGGTCGGCTGCTGGAATTGTGTTACGCACCCTGAAAAGGGTAGCATCCGCGGTATTCCGTAGTTCCTCCGTCGATTCACCGTCCAGCATAGTGGCTCCTCCAGCCACATCAATCGATAACGATGCTTTCCCCGACTTCGATCTCCAGGATTTGTACGGACTTGTGGGCCTTGATAACAACTCGTTAGGCATATGATGAGCTCGGTTTGGCCTTTAAAGTCTACTTCAACCATTCGGTCGAAAGTGCAAGGATACATCAATCGCTTCGTCTTCGCGAACCATTGGAAAAGATCGTTGTACCGTGTACCTACTGTCTAGCATCATCCCCGCCGTCAAAGTGCTTAGGCCTGCCTAGAGGTGCTCATCGCCGCTCCGTCCCCGTCTCCCATGACCCTTCCTTCATCTTGATGGGAAGATGCATTAAAAGCTCACCACTTGGTGTCGGTAATGGGAGTCTACCAGCGCGTATGTTTATCTGCAAGGACGGATGCAGCAGTTTTGGCGCGTTGAGACTCGCATCACGTTCTTCTCGCAGGATAAGGAAATCGTCCTCCGCATGGTTCGCAAGGTGCCTATTCTTCTCCTTATGATCCCGTACAGTCATCCAAGGCACGGCCTCGCATCGTTGAGGACACGCTGGATAGTCATGCCCAGTCCAAATCTTGGTTTCACCCGGTAGTTCCAGTAGCTTTTGTGCCGAAGCATACAAGCTCTTTGCACTACCGCCTGGAAAGTCACAGCGTGCCGTGCCTGTGTCAGCGTGAAATATCGAATCTCCGCAAAACACATTGGCTTGGTAGTGTTAGTATTGAGTACAAAGTCAGATCGCTACAGCGAGCACTTACTGCCAACCTGGTAACCGATATGATCAGGCGTATGACCGGGAAGATGAAGGACCTTCGCCCTCAAACTCCCAACCTCGAAGATCTCATCATCTTCGAAAAGATGATCGAACGCGTTTTCGTACTCAACAGCTGGAATACCATACCTCACAGCAAATCGTTTCTGGACCTCGCGAATTCGTTTCCCGATGCAAATGGGCGGCTTGAATCCCTGCTGCGATGAGAGACGTTGCTGGAGGTAAGAAGCTGCTGTCAGGTGATCGGCATGAGCGTGCGTTTCCAGTATCCTCTCGATGTAGTACCCTTCTTCCAAGACCGTGGCCAATAGATCATCAGCTGTCCGGGTACTGATTGTCTGGGTAGGCGCGTCATAGTCGAGCACAGGATCGACAATGACGGCTTTCTTAGACGACGCGTCTGCTACCACGTATTGCCATGTCCCTGTCTTGTCTTCAAACAAGCTGTGGATTGCGGGCTCGTGGGACCTTATGCTGTGAGTGCTGTAACTTGACCCGTTTTGGGCTTTCCGCGGGATCTGTAAAGTCGGATTGGTCAGGTTGGTGACGGTGCGGCCTGCCCAGCTCGCATAGTTCGGTGGATGTGGCAAGCTGACTGTTCCTCGTGCGATGCATTGAGGTATCGTAGTAGTCATTTGAGCTATCGGTCGTTGCTGTTGCCTCGAAATGCGGACCTCGGGGGTGTGGTGAGACGAGTTAGGCAATCGCCAAAGCGCCTGGATGCGTCCAGATGAGCGTAAATTCTTCATGTCCTAGGATGGGATAGTCAACATTATCCGTGTATCAGCGGCCACTTGTTCAATACCTCCTCCGCTTCGTTTTAAGTATTTATCAATCTCGGGAAGCTGACTGTGCCCAGGTGGTGCCACCTCCATGCAGGGTTCGGCGTCTATCCCACGACGACCCCGACATGACTCGTTCTTGATCCCCGAAACGAAACGCTTTTGATCGCCGACATGACAATGGCCTTTGGGATGAATAATCTACTCCCTTAGTATTTTCGAAGCTCTTGAAGAGTCGTTTCGTCCACCATCCACAAACCGCAAAATCGCAAGGAATCACATTACAACAGACCTACAGTTACTCGAGCGAAAACAAGGACCGTTCATATTGCCTCTTCGACTTACCGTTAACCGATACGTCCACACGACCATCAGCAGCTAAGAAATAGCAGTCTACTTGGCCGGAATGTATACATCGTGCCATCGCTTCACTTCGACGTCGCTCCGAACTGCGCTCACCACACAAAGTCTACCAGCTGTTCGAGGCCTCGCGACTGTTTCACCTGCGACCAGTATATCAAAACATCACAAGGTCGTTGTCATTGGAAACGGTTCAGCTGGTGTCGCAGTCAGTCATCAACTGTTACGAAAAGGACGCTTCAAAAAGGACGATATTGCGGTTGTCGATCCGAGCACTTGGCATCATTACCAACCGGGCTGGACATTGGTGGGCGGCGGCTTGAGCCATAAAGAACAGTTCAAAAGGCCGATGAGCGAGCTCGTCGCGTCTGAAATCACGTTCTACAACAGCAATGTCGCGGCCATTAACCCGCAAGACAACCACTTGTCCTTGGGAGGGGGTGACAAACTTCAATACGACCACCTCGTCATCGCACCAGGCATCAAAGTCGATTACAACAGCGTCAAAGGCCTTCGCGAAGCTATGGAGAATTCTGATAGCGTCGTAGCATCCATATACAGCTACGATCACTGCGACAAAGTGTTTCGAAACATTCAGCGTCTCAAGAAGGGCTCGGCCATCTTCACCCAGCCTTCCGGTGTAGTGAAATGCGCAGGTGCACCTCAAAAGATCATGTGGCTCGCAATGGATCACTGGAGACGAGCAGGCCTCTACAGCAACGATCCCGAGAAAAGCACCATCAAGATGAGTTTCGCGACTGGTCTGCCCACCATGTTTGGCGTACCGAAGTACAGCGTCAAACTGAACGATATGCGAGAAGAGAGAGGAGTCACAGGCCTCTTCGAACATAACCTTATCGAGATTAATGAGAATACTGCGACATTTGAACGACCGAACGGCGAACAGCCCGTACAACGACATTTTGACTTCCTTCATGTTGCGCCCCGGAATATACCGCACGCTTTTGTGAAAGAGAGCGGATTGGGCAACGACGCGGGATTCGTGGACGTGGATCAGCACTCTCTCCGGCACAAGAAGTTCAAGAACGTGTGGTCGCTCGGCGATGCGGCCAGTCTGCCTACATCGAAAACGGTGGCTGCAATCACATCCCAAGCGCCCATTCTCACACAAAATCTGTTGCGTACTATGGATGGCAAGGAGCCAGAGTCCGAATACGATGGTTATACTTCATGTCCGCTTCTGACCGGTGACAAGAAGGTGCTTCTTGCGGAGTTCAAATACGGTGGTATGCCGAAAGAGACGTTCAATACATGGTTTGGTGTTGACCAGGCTGTCCCGAGACGCGCATTCTATCATCTGAAGAAAGACTTCTTTCCTTGGGTTTATGATCGATATCACGTGAAGGGCCAGTGGGGTGGCCCAAGTGGCTGGATCAGGTAGCTTTAGATAAGTGTTGAGAGGTGTTGCGATGCGTCTTCTCGGAGGATTGATCCCCTGCAATGAAGTCTTAGATAACGCATCGTATGTATCGGTAGGGCTAGGTATATTGGCAATGGCACGTAGTCGGCGCAAAGACCAACTTTGGATTATTCAACCTTTTGCTCGCTGATGTTGATGACTCATCTGCTATCATTTAATAAGGGGCAATATGTGCATGGGCGGTTATATACGAAGAACACATGAATTCGTGAAATGTCGATGTTTCGGTCTGGACGGCAGACGCGTGCTGGCGGAAAAGCACGCTAAGGACCAATATAGCTTAGCGCACGGTGTGACGTAGGCGCTGCCTGGCAGGGCGCGTTTGAACTTTGACAATAGGGCGTGCAACAAGGAGATATGTATAACCAGCGCCCAAGCCACTTTTCCCTCTGCTACTGTCAGCCCAAATCACGTACGCGTTACATCCCACTCCGACTACTGCAATCGGTTCCGATTACCTAGCACCATGACTACGAAGACCTCTCGGATCTCTTGCCGGACTTTCGTCGGTCATGCGTTTGCCATTTCGAAGGCCTGTCGCTCTTATCACGGCACGTCCGAGTCTTGGAGACGAGGAACAGTCGGCACATGGCGCTAAACCTCTGGTGTAACGTTGCTTCTGTTGTGCAGGACCTCGAACTGGATTTCCCTTGGCCGCTCTGCACGAGAGACGAGGCGCGACGACACCCTCAAAACCCTACGCCACGGCGATGGACCAGCTGGAGGCTGATACAAGAGACATGTTTGCATATCAATACCCTCTTATCTCACGCCCACATCGATATGCACATTGCGAGCCCAACCAGACCGAGCATGACTCCCTTCCAAGACGTGGAGGTGCCGTTCCACCCGAACATACCTTGGCAGCCAAGGCGCGCCTCCGCACCCATGGGACATCTCCACCTACCAAGTTCCTGCGCAAACGCCTCCCACGGGCCTGAATGTTGGTATCAGTAGCTGCAGACGGGTATCATGCCCGTAGTGCTACCCTGGCACGCGACATGTTATCATTGAGGCGTCGAGTCGTTGCTGGCCGGGGCTGCGTGGTGACGCGCGCCGCGACTCTGATCTAAGATCAGGAGCGCAGGGGTGTGCGACGACATCATTAGAAGAGAGAGTTGTGCCCAGGCTGGGTTCTCTCACTGCACCTCTGCCGGGCTTGTCTCTTTGCCCTCTCCATGCAGCCTCTCATATCGCTTTACTCCTCCACCTCGTCTCACTGAGCGCATCGATACCATTTGCCCACCATGAACGTCATCCGCAAAGCTGTGCGGGCGATGTTCCCTCCGCCTCGCGTGGCGCCTGACGGTCGCGCGGAATGGCCCTCTCGAACACCATATGTGCTTGCTTCCATGGGTGGAGCGATGGGATTCGGAAATTTGTTACGTTTCCCTTCCCAGGTCTTCAACAACAACGGCATCCAATGGTTCATACCCTACCTCATGGCTGTCTGCCTCCTCGCGATCCCGGTGCTTATCTTGGAAGTGGCTATTGGACAGGCTTACCGCAGTGGCTGTGTCATCGGTTACAACGGTCTTGATCGACGCTTTACGGGCGTTGGGTTCGGAATGGTCTGCGTTGGTTACGCTGTGGCCATCTACTACATTCCCATTCTATCCTGGGTCATGGTGTACTTCCGCAGTTCATTCCGGTCCGCAAACGACTTCCCCTGGAAAGATAACCCGCAGGAGTACTTCAGTCATGTCGTCAACGAAGTCCCCGCCATTCCCGCGGTCTACAGCGATGATGGCAGTCGAGTCCTTCAGTATGCCTCATATCCTGGTGTGAACCTCGATGGCGAGCTTGTCGGCTGGGTTCTCTTTTCTTGGTTCATCGTTTGGATCTGTTTGTACAAAGGCATCGCCATTACCGCTCGCGTCGTCTACATCACCATCGTCTTGCCCATTATCATGACCGTTATCCTTGTCGGCCGTGGTGCGTCTTTGCCCAACGCTGGCCGAGGTATCAAACTATACTTTGGGGAGTTCAACGGCGATCAGCTTGCCGCAGGCAAGATTTGGCAAGCTGCAACCAGTCAGGTCTTCTACTCTACCGGTGTCGGTTTTGGCTATTACTCTGCCTACGCCTCGTACAACTCCAAGTTCTCTGATGCTGTCCAAGACGCCATGATGATCTGCAGTGCTAACGCACTGTTTGAGTCGTTCGCGGCCTTTGCTGTCTTCGGTGTCGTCGGTTACTTGGGCTTGCAGCCTGGTGTTGGTGATCCGGTCGGAACATATACGCTCGGCTTCTACACCCTCCCCAGCGCCATCCAGGAAATGCCTGGAGCTCCATTCTGGTCTGTTCTGTTCTTTCTGACTCTGTTCCTACTTGGTATCAGTTCATCGTACGCGCTGCTCGATGCTATGATTACTACCATCTGCGACACTCACTGGGGAAGGAAGTACAAGCACTCGACCATCGCCACGATCATCACCGTCATCTCGGCCCTGGTATCATTGTTCTACTCAACGGGATTCGGTTATGAAGCTACCAATGCTGTTGACGCACAGATCAGCAACATTTCACTCATCTTCGTAGTATGGGCTGAGTGCGTATGCGCTACTTCGTTCTACCGCTTCGTCGACGTCATAGGTCAGGTTGGCGCACCATCCTTCTGGCTGTACCAATGTTCGTACATTGGTGCCCAGATCATCGGCAACGCCATCGCACATACAGTTTCCGACAAGATTGGTGCTGGTGTTGGCTTTGGTATCTACATCATTGGCACAATCCTTGCAATTCTCGTCGCCAAAGATCCCACAGTTCCAGCTCCTAAATTTTGGGGCCGTAACAAGATCTTGAACCGCGTTTGGTGGGTTGGCCTCTACTCTGTAAGTATACCCTTCTCCAGTGACATATTCACTTGCTAATACTATATAGGGACACCAACTTGCGCGCGACCTCAACTATGTCGTGTGTGTGGGCAAGCAGTGGCGACTACCCGTCTTCTGGGCACCCATCCTTCGATACTTCGCCGCACCTGTGCTCTCGATCATCTTCTGCTTTGCCTATCCCACGTTCTACGCCATACGCGGCGACCCCCTACAGA